ATCCATGTATCTCTCTCTTCTCTCTCTCTTCTCCTTCCTCTTTCTAAACATATCCTCAGGTGAGGATTAAAAAAAAAAAAAGGCAATGCCTGGGCTTCATCATTGGTGATGCCCATTCATTAGCTCTGTCGGGAAGGCGAGGAAACAACTTTTTAAAGGTGCTCAAGGGGTATCAGGTGTCAACCAATGAGCATTTGTGGCAATTCAATGCCAACAGGAATCCCCAGTTGGGGTGTGGTGAAGAAGAAAACCTTATCTGTGCAAACAGCTCAATTGTGATCCAGCACAGCTATGGACCAGCTGGTTTAATTTATTGCTTTGGGCTTCAGATTCTGCATCAGTAAAATGAGGGAGATGCTTGGAGACTGTTTTCACTGCTTTAATTAATGTCTGTCTTTGTTTATCTCTGACACATTCTAACTTCTAATTAAGTTATAAGTTAAAGGCTAGAAGAAAATGATGAATTAAAATAAATAATGTTACTAATGTTAAATAGTGTAGGTTCTTACAAAGCCTATTCCTCCACACGTAAGCTCCCCAGGGATTGCACCTGAAGTCTTAACTCCTTTAGTGGACCAAAGTTCTGACCAGCCTTCCTAGCATTTCAGAAAATTTCCCAATGCTTCATATATTTCCCATGTATAAGGCTGCTTCTCTCTCAATCACCTCTTGATTCTTTTTGGTTTACTGGAAAGGGTAAAGTGCTGGGAGTCAGGACAGGGTTAACAATTCGTTGCTGTATTATTCACATTAGTCAAGTTATGGAAATAATCTAAGTGTCCCATCAAAGGATGAAAGGCTTTAAAAAAATGTGAGACTATGATTTTCTAACCACATTGTTGTATATCTGAAACTAGTACAGAATAATATTGAATGTAAACTATAATTGAAAAATAAATTTTAAAAATGTGACCTACACAAACACACACAATGGAATATTATTTAGCCTTTAAAAAAAAGGAAATCCTGCCATTTGTGACTACATGGATGAAGCTGAAGGACATTATGGTAAGTAAAATAAGTCAGACACAAAAAGACAAATACTGCATAATCTAAATAGTTGAACTCAAGGAAGCAGAGTAGAATGGTGATTGACAGTGGTAGGGGAGTAGAAAAAATGCGGAGATGTTAGTCAAAAGGTATAAACTTATATTTATACATGAATAGGTTCTGGAGATCTAATGTACAACATGGATCCTACAGTTAATAATACTGTATCATATACTTGAAATTTGCTAAGAAGGTAGACCTTTTTTTTAAAAAAGTATTTTTTTTATTGATTTCAAAGAGGAAGAGAGAAAGAGAGAAAGAAACATCAATGATGAGAGAGAATCATTGATTGGCTGCCTCCTGTGTGCCCCCTGCTAGGGATCAAGCCCACCCAGGCAGGTGTCCTTGACTGGAATCAAACCTGGGACCCTTCAGTCCACAGGCTGATGCTCTATCCACTGAGCCAAACCAGCTAGGGCAAGAAGGTAGATCTTAAGTATTCTCACCACACATACACCTATGTGGGTTGATGGATATTTTGACTAGCTTGATTGGGATGATCATTTTCCAATGCATTCATATATCAAAACATCAAGTTATAGACCATAAATATATACAATTGCTATTTGTCAGTCATGCCCCAATAAAGCTGAAAAAGAAGACAAAAATGGGTAGATGTAAATAAATATTAACTATATAAAATATGTTTTAAAAATTACCATTTACAAACTTGGGTGGTTTAATTTATTGCTCTGAGCTTCGGTTTCTGCATCAGCAAAATGAGGGAGATACTTGGAGACTATATAGATTGCCTGTTACTCAAACTTTACCCACTAGTTTTAGTATCCTTTAATAATAATTGCCAAAAGAGATTTTCTAATTTCAAATTTCATGATTTCTTCTATATTTATTAGTTGGTATTCTACTGTAAGCAAGAGCTTTAAAAAAATTTTTCCCATTTATTTATTCATTCATTTATCCATTCATTTATATCAGTGTGGACTCAAAGATTCCTGTTTTATTCAATGGGACATAATCCATTACTATAATTATTTTTTTTATACTTAGACTAGAAGCCTGGTGCACAGATTCATGCACCAGTGGGGTCCCTTGGCCTGGTCTGTGGGGATCAGGCCAAAACCAGCAGTCTGACACCCCCTGAGGAGTCCCCGGAGTGCGAGAGGGCACTCTGCAAAGTTGCTGTTGCTCAGCAGCTCTTGCATTGAGCGTCTGCCCCCTGGTGGTCATTGCACATCATAGTTACTGTTCGATTGACCAGCCGGTTGCCAGTCTGCCAGTTGCTTAGACTTTTATATATATGGATTGCCTCAGAGTAGATTAGTATCAACCCTTTCCATCTGAGTCCTATGTCAGATTATGTTACATCATTCTTTGAACCCACCTAGTTTATTTAGTGAATAAAGGAACAAATCATCATTTTAAAAAAGTCTTCCTAAAACAATTCTATTGTTTGTATGGGTCCAGTGTTCAGGCTTTTAATAATCGATCTCTGTCTGTTATGATTCCATTCAGCCAATGGCATTAGTCCACTGGTCCTTTTTTTAAACATTTTGTTCTTGTTTATTTATTCATTTTTATTGAATTTATTGAGATGACATTGGTTAATAAAATTATACAGGTTTCAGATATACAATTCTACAATGCAACATCTGTATACTATATTGTGTGTTTACCACCCCAAGTCAAGTCTCCTTCCACCACCATTTATCCCCTCTTTACCTTCTTCTACCTCCCCCAGTCCACTGGTCTTAATTAATAATTGCTTCCTATTGAAGAATAATGTCATGAGACAGGAAAGTCTTCCTAAATATGATACATTAGACAGAAAGATTAAGGGCATGAATAAAAGTTAAAACACAAGGTCTTAAAGCTTCTGTATTAAAAATAATTACCTTAAACACAATTAAAGTTAAAAACCATCTAAGAAAAAACCACTTTCAGTATTTGACAAAAAGATAATACTTTTAATATATATTGATTAAACCTATAAAGAGCAATAGAAAATGGGCAAATATATATATATATTGAGATAATTCATAAGAGAACAAACATGTCTCAGCCTCATGAGCAAAGCAGTACCAGTTACATCAATTGAAATTACCTAAGAGAAAATTTGTGACTCATAACATTGGCAGAGATTCTATTTAATGCCATTTCATTTTTTCAAGGCACTCATTTTTATGAAATTGTAAATTAGAACAGCTTTACTATGGGACAATTGGATGATATAAATTAAAAGTTTTGATTGGTTTTGGTCTTATGGTATTAGGTAGGGGAAGTGTTTCCAAGTCAGATATAATATCTATTCCCATAAAGCATTCAGATAAGGGAGACACAACCTCTTCACATAAGGCCTGTCATTCAAACTTTTACCTTAGTCTTATTACCAGTAACAGGATTATTATTGTTATTATTATCGATAATCTTACACATTTCTATATTCACTCAGTTTTTTAATTGTAGCCCATTTTAGGGCTTTACCAACAGATGTTGGTACCACAATGCATGAGGCTCCTGTGTCAAGGAACCCCAGAAAGTTCTCTTCATTCCCTGACCATTTTACCCGCTTCTATGGATTAGGTTTTAGGTTCCCAGCCATAGAACCCTGGCACTTTTGTCAGTCTTTATCTTGATTAATTTGACTGACTATTGGCTTAGAAGATTCCAGGTCAGGGTTTTCACTATATTCTTTATTTTTCCAGTTTTTAAAATTCCTGTAAACCAGGGAAATAGAGTGGGACTTGTTTGGGCATTTTAATGTTGGGGGACCAGCAGGAGGTCCATTTGTTCTACCTAAACTTTGGTAGTACTGTATTTGGTAATACTGGTAGGACCTTCTTTAATCCCATCAATATTCGTTTTATTCATCATAAGTGGAGGAACATGTATAGTCTGATATTTTGCTGTCTTTCAATCATTTAAAAACTATATCTTTGCATACCGTGTGTGGATAATTGTCAAACCCTGGTCTTCCCACACTCCTTATCACTTATATCAAGTGCTCCAACACAGTATGGTTATGCCTGTCATTAAGCTGTCGGAACAATGTTTAAAAATCTATCTATTCTTTAAATTAAGCCGAGTGCTTAATTTTCTAAAAGCAAGCACTCAAAGAAATCCAACTCCTCTCCCGCTCCCCACCCCCCATCCCACCTCACGGATGAATAATCGCTGGAGAGTTCTAGAAGAGACAATCCCTGATATTTGTATTGGTATTCAGTAGTTTCATTGGTAAAGGGCAGCATCCTGCAGTTTGAAAGCCATAAACGCGGCATATCCATTGTGATATTACAATGCCACTAAGTCATGCTTCCGTTCTGTCAGCAGTGTTCATTTTTGATAGTTTTGCACTTTTATGCCACGGGTTCCTCAGGAGCAGCTGGCCACCAAAACACATTCTGTACCCTCCCCAGAGATGCCCAACACCTAGCGGCCTCAGGGAAGCCAGGGAAGGACCCGAGCGCAAAGCCAGGGGAAGAGAGAGGGGCGGGTCCCACCAG